TACAACAAAGTATACAAGGTCAATAACCTTTTTAACGTCCTTGTTATAATAGGTCTGGAAGGTTAGAGTTGCTGCATATGAAGAACTTACGAAAAAATTTTCACAAGCGGATCCATCAAACGAAAGCGAGTTTCGGCCTTATGAAGGCTTTATGAAAAATATTGCGACAGATGCTAACGCTGTTGCTCAAGAGACTGGTTTGTCAACACTACAGGCTTATGTTGAAAATGCACCTAATCCAATAAAGCAAGTGTTCATTTTTAACTTTTACAGACTAATTAAATTTTTTCGCGTCCACTTGACATCGAATTATATATGTATGTTTAACTCTTTAATTTTTTCTAATCATTACTCTTGTAGGATTAGGTCTTCTATCATACCTGCCATCGTTGAAAAGGGTTTGGGTTCTTCCCGTACCGGAACGAAGACTAAAGCAGTTGAACTCATTCTTACATACATTGAGGTGGACGTGCCTGATCCGGTCGTGGTTAGTATTAAATCCCTATCAGCCTAATTGTTATTATTAATTATTTATTATTTGTTATTATTTTTAATATTTATAGGAAGATGTTCTTGGGGGGTTAAACGCCAAACAACCTAAAATAGTTTCCACAACTGTTTTTGCACTTAAAGAAATAATAAGGTATTTAGTGGTTGGACAATTCATGTTATTCTTGATCCATAATTCTTTACTGGACAATTTATTTATACATTTAGATTATATGGGGCAAAAACAGTTACCGTAAAGCCTATTCTCAAAAAATTGTCAAAAATATTTGGTCATACTGACAAAAACGTTAGAGCAGAGGTAATATGCTTCAATGAATTGTGGCTAAGCATATATGATGCAATCATAATTTTTCTCTCCGAACGCAAATACATTTATTTATTTATCAAATAGGGTACGCAACTAGTAATAGAACTTTATAAATGGCTAGGACAAGCAATTAATCCACATCTACAAGAATTAAAACCAGTTCAGGTAAATGTCTTTAAAGATATCGACCATTTCCTTATTACACTACTAAAATTTCTCTAACAGGTTAAAGAATTGAACGAAGCCTTTGAAATTTTACCAAAAGAAAAAGCTATACAACAACGATTTTTACGATCACAGAAAGAAACGGAGGAAGCCGAAAAAAGGTAGGTTGTTAAATATGTGTTTGTATAAATTTTCACACACAGTAAAAATATGGATTTAATATATAATCCAGTTGATGAAGAGGCTGAAGCGGAAGAAGAAAAAGAAATAGACGTATATGACCTAGTAGAGCCTGTTGATGTACTGGGAAAAATGTCAAAAGATTTTTATACACAAGTGGTGCGGTATAAAACTTTGTCAATAAGATTTTAGTCATATTTTGTGTAGACCAACAATCTGATGTTAATATGTGCATTTACTAGCAAGCCTCAAAGTGGAAGGATAGAAAAGAGGCATTAGATGCTCTACTTGAAATTTGCAAAACGCCGAGAATTGCGGATAATAATTATGGAGAACTAATTGCTGCGCTTACTAAGGTATTATAGTATAAGTCATTTGATTATTATTTAATAATATAAAATATAATCTAAATTTAATAACATATTTTTTATCAAATTAATAGCGAATTTCAGATTCAAATATATTAGTAGTAACGCTGGCTGCAAATATTATTGAAGCTTTAGCATTAGGTTTACGTGAATCATTTGCAAAATATAAACCAACGGTAAATTCATTCCCAATTTGTTATGGATTATATTTATCAAAAGTATTGAAACCTACATTTTTAATATCAGGTTACAAATCCGTTGATAGAGAAACTCAAAGAAAGAAAACAGAGTGTTGTGGATGCTTTAGCAGCTGCTTTAGATGCGATATTTTCTACTGTAAGCAAATTAAATATTTTAATGTTATTATATTATTTTACATGTATATAAAAAAATTTTTCTTCCAAAATGCAAAAAAAGGTCACAATTTCTGATGTCACTGAAGATATCGTAGCCGCAGGAAAGCATAAGAATCCGCAAGTAAAATCAGAAACAATGAAATGGCTAGTTAGATGCTTGAGGAATACCAAATTAGCCCCCAACAAAGCAGAAATCAAATCATTGACCGAAATGATGGTAAAAGCTTCTGAAGATAGTTTTGAGCCTGTTCGTCTTTCTGCTGCAGAAGGTCTAGGTACAATGATGAAAGTCATCGGGGAGAAAGCTATGAATCCTTTTATAGAAGGACTTGATGATATTAAAAAAAGCAAGATTAAAGAGTTCTTTGAAAAGGCAGAAGTCAAAGTCAAAGCTACAATGGCAAAGAGACCACCACCTGCGGCTGCTCCTACCCAAACACCTAAAGCAAAACCTAAAACTGCGAGCAAAAAGGATGAGGTAAGCTTGATTTTGAAATATGCTGGTAAACCATTTAAATTTGTGCTACAATATCGCATATTTTCAGAAGACTGAGCCAAAGAAGGCTGCAGAACCTCCAAAAACCTCTAAACCTGCAGCACAACCACCTAAAAAAGTTGCGAAACCACCAACTTCTGCTGCGCCATCGAAAAAAGGTGCAAAAACTAAGGAAGAAGAACCATTGAGGTACAAGTTTTCAAATGAAGAAGTTGAAGCGAGACTTGCGGAAATAATTCCAGAAGAACAGACCGCTGGATTGGGCGACAAAAAATTGGAAGAACCGTTTATCAGGTAATTTATTAACCACTATTTCATAAAATAACTAATTATTTTACTTACAGTTTCCCTTACTATTTAGCAATTGAGGAACTTTATAACACGTTAAATGAAATGGACCCTTCTAATATTGAAGCAGAACTAATAGTTAGATTTCTTGCAAAAAAACCTGGATGGAAAGAAAGCAATTTTCAGGTTTGTATTAGGACCCTCGTTAATTATTAAGATTTTTTAGCATAATAATAATTATAAAAATTATAAAATTACGGTTTAGGTAATGGCCAAAGCATTCAATGTTATGGAACTGCTCAGTTCTAAGGCACCATCATTTGGGAAACCAACGGCTGCTCTTGCTATTCCTGGTAATTTACCCGTTATTAAGTGATTTTATGTTTCTCATGTTTGATATTGCATTAAATAGTGAAATTTTATAGTATTATTCGAAAAATTGGGCGACATTAAACTCAAAAAGAGTGCAGGAGAAACTTTAACAGCATTTGCAGAAAAAATATCTCTGCAATTCGTTCTTTGGCAATGTTAGTCTTTTAATCGCTTTTATGTTGATTTATAGTTGCGTATCCTCCAGTTAATTTATATTGGATTTTATTTCTTTAGCTTATGATCCATTGCGAAAAGCTAAATCTCCAAAAGTATTGGCCGATAGTTTGCTGTGGTTTCATGGTGCCATTATGGAATTCGGAATTGCTGGAGTTCAAGTGCGAGAATTGATTGATTTTATCAAGTTCGCATTAACTAGCTCTAACGCAGCTGTCCGTACCAATGCTGTTACTGTTTTGGGAGCATTGAGGATTTATGTCGGTCCAGGTAAATTAGGATTATTGTAATATTAAAATTTAAACGAATAGAACTAACTGAATTATCGGATATGTAGATATTAGGACATTTGTTCAAGATTTAAATCCTACACAACTTGCTACCATTGATGCTGAATTCGAAAAAGTTGCTGATCAAGCCCCTCCCCAGCCTATAAAAACAAGTGTATGTAAAATGAAATCTATGAATATAAGGAAACAAATATATGCATCTTTTAAACATAGTTTTCACATGTTAATATATATAAATTAAATTAAATTAGGTCGAGGTGGCAAGTTCAGGGCGCGGTGGAAATGACGCATTGGAAGAACTTTTCCCAAAAGTTGATATCGGTGCACAATTTACTAGCAAAATGATGGC